AGAGCTTGGGTCAGGGGGATACCGTGGGTGGTTAATGTTTCCCGGACTCCATCTATCCAGGTCTTTCTCGGTCGCCCTCTAGCCTTGTTGCCATCAGTGCACTTCGACTGCTATTTGTTCAGACGTACTCTGTGCCCATTTTTTGGGGTTTTTTACTATTACCATTTCATAGTCTGTGATATCAAATGAATGTGCTCGAGAGGTATTTTGTCAATATCTAAATTCTGCAAGCTAAAAAAAAGCAAGAAAAAATGAAAGTTTCTTTGTTCTCCCTTCTGAAAAATTCTGCTCCGAAACTCTTTAAAAAAACCCAAAACAAGGTTATTGTCCTGGTCCTCTCTATTCAGGTTCTCTTAGCTAGTTGTTCTTAGTTTACTCGTGTCTCTTTTGTCTTTTAAAAACATTTCAGTTGAGAGCAAGACAATTGATTCCAGTGTCCAGGGAACTGCATTTGTCTCTTTCTAATTGTGTTTGGACGCGCATTCTGGAATTTCGAAAACGTTTAAAAACACGCAGTTTTGAGCGCTTCACAAGAAAAGCCTTAACATGCATTGCCCATCAGATTTTTCAATTCTGTTTTCTTTATCTGAAATTTAAAGCAACAATATAACCAAAGAGTATTTATAGGGGTGTTAAACACATCCCATTTCAGCATTATTCTTTTCGAAGCAACAATAGCATAATAATCTAAAGATGTACAAATTCGTGTTTCTGGGTTCGTGTGAGTCACAGTTCGAAATGTTGCTGCAAAATATTGCCTTTGGTCTGCTGCTAATCGGACGCCCGAATTTATGTTCTCTACGGACTTAGAGTGTTGGAAATAGAGCCACACCTCGCCAGAAGACAGGATGTTGTTCATGTATTCCAGGAAGGCTTCGTCTTTGATCTCGTTGTCGGTGAAGAGGAAGGTGACGCCCTTGCCCTGTTGTCCAGCCGTACGGTAAAGATACTTCAAGTCTTCTAGCAAGTTGCTCACATTGTACGATCTGAAACATTGCAATTATAAAGTTATAATGATAACCCTAATAATAATGATGATGATGATAATAACAACAACACAACAATAATAATAACAATAATAATAAATAATAATA